TAATTTAAAACTGAACAAAGATCCTAAATAGATATATTTCCCCAAAAAAGATATTCAAATGTATAACAGGTGCATGAAAAGATTCTATTCAACAACACTAATCGCCAGGGAAACAGAAATCAAAACCACAAGGAGATATTAACTCACAAGTGTTAGAATTGCTGTTATCAAAAAGGTAAAAGATATCAGCAAACCAAATCCAACAATTCACTAAAAATATCATACACCATGATCATTTCTTGGGATGCAAAGTTGCTACAATATCTGCAAACCAATTAACATGATATACCCCATAAACAAAATGAAGGATAAAAATCACATAATCACATCAATAGATGTAGACAAAGCATCTGACAAAATCCAGCACCCATTATGATAAAAAAAAAAAAAAGCTGCAAAGTGGGAATAGAGGGAACATACCTCAACATAATAAAGGCAAACGACAGCCAATATCACACTCAAGGAGGAAAAACGAAAAACCTTTCCCTGAGGATTAGAAACAAGACAGGAATCTTCACTTCTACTACTCTTTTTTAACATAGACCTGGAAGTTCTAGCCAGAGCAATCAGACTTTTGTCTGAAATACAGGCATTCAAAGTGGAAAGTGAAATAAGAGGCATTCAAAGTGGCAAGGAAAAAATAAAACTGTCATTATTTGCAGATGATCTGATCCTGTAATATAAAGAACTCTAAAGATTCCACCAAAAAATTACTGGAACTGCTATATGAATTCATGCAGGTAAAAGGACACATAATTAATATTTGGAAATCAGTTGTATTTTTAGATACTAATAATGAACTACTAGAAAGAGAAACTAAGAAAACAACCCTATTTGCGACAGCATGGATGGACCCTAGAGGGTATTATGCTCTATGAAATAAGTCAATCAGAGAAAGACAAATACCATATGATTTTACTTGTAAGTAGAAACTGAAGAACAAAATAAATAAACAAAATAGAAACAGACTCACAGATACAGAGAGTGAACTGGTTGTTGCCAGAGGAAAGGAGCTTTGGGTTTGGGGGAATGGGTCAAAAAGGTAAAGGGATTAAAGAAGTACAAATTTGTAGTTACAAATAGTTACAGAGATGTAACCTACAATACAGGGAATACAGTAAATAACACTGCAATACTATGTATGGTGCCAGGGCCTGGTAGGCACTGGATATATCAGTGGAGCACTTTGTAAATTATATGATTATCTAACCATCATGCTATATACCAAGAGCAATACAAAATAATATTGAAAATAAAAAGAAAGTTTTATAAGAAAAAAAGATAACAGTGCTGATGATGATGTAGAGAAAAGGGAACCCTTACACACAGTTGGTGGGAGTGTAAATTGGTATAGCCACTATAAAAGGCAATGTGGAGTTTCCTCAAAATATTAAAAATAGAACTACCACATGATCTAGCAATTCTACTTGTGATTATATATCTGAAGGCAATGAAATCACTATGTCAAAGAGATATCTATATTTCATGTTTACTGCAACCTTACCATAATAACCAAAACATGAAAACGACCCATATGCCCATCACGGATGAATGGAAAAAAGAGAATATGGTATATATACACAATGGGATATTCTTCAGCCATTTAAAGAAAGGAAATCCTAGACCTGGCTGAGTGGCTGAGTTGATTGGAGTGTCATCCCATATATCAAAAAGGTTGCAGGTTCCATGCCCAGTCAGGGCACATAACCAGGTTGTGGGTTTGATCCTGGCCTGCATAAGTATGGGAGGCAACCAATCAGTGTTTCTCTTTGACAATGACATTTCTCTTTTTCTCTCTCCCACCCTCTTCCTCTCTCTCTAAAATCAATGAACATATCCTTGGGTGAGGGGAAAAAAAAAAGGAAATCCTGCCATTTGCAACAACATGGATGGATTTTGATGGCATTATACTAAGTGAAATAAGTCAGACAGAGAAAGACAAGTATTGTATGATCCCAATTCTGTGGATTCTAAAAAAAACAAATTAACTCAGAGAAACAGAAGTGGATTGGTGGTTTCCAGAGGCAAGTGGTGAGGATATGGGAAATAAGGAAAGGTGATTAAAATGACAAATTTCCTTCCATAAGATAAGTAATTTCTGGGGCTGCAATATACAGCTTGGTAAGTATAGTTAAAAACAGTGTACTGTAGCTCTGGCTGGTGTAGCTCAGTAGATTGAGCGCAGGCTTGCAAACCAAAAGGTTGCTGGTTTGACTCCCAGTCAGGGCACATGCCTGAGTTACAGGCCAGGTCCCCGGTGGGGGATGCACAAGAGGCAACCACACATTGATATTTCTTTCCCTCTACTTCTCCCTCCCTTTCCCTCTCTCTAAAAATAAATAAATCTTAAAAAAAAAAACAACCAAAAAAAGTGTATTGTATTTTGAAAGTTGCTACAGAAGATTTTAAAAACTTCTCATCACATGAAAAAACTTTAACTGTGAGGTGATATTAACTAAATTTATTATGGTAATCATTTTACATAATACATAAACAGAATCATTATGCATACCTTGAACTTATACAATATTATGTATCAATCATATCTTAATAACACTAGGGGGTTGAACTTATACAATATAATGTATCAATCATATCTTAATAACACTAGGGGGTAACAGTGCCTTTTGAAGAGCAGAAGTTTTTAATATCAATGAAGTCCAATTTATCATTTTTTCTTTTATGGTATGTGTTTTTGGTGTCCTAATAAAAGTCTTCCCAGGTAGCAAACATTTCTACTAATTTTTTTAGCTTTTACTTATAGGCCTCCTGTCCTTTTTAAGTTAATTACAGTTTATGTTGTGAGGTAAAGTTCTTTTTCTTCCATATAGATATGGCACAAAATATCAAAAAGCTTTTAAACAGCTATTTAAAGTCACATATGTCTTAGGTACCTTGGTCCCCTACAACTAAAATCTGAGGCTTTCACGATCTGATTCTAATACCCTCTCCAAGTGTGCTGCAAGGCAGTTTGCATTCTGTCACTTCTTCAACATATATGCTTTAGGACCTTATCCAAAGTAATGTCTCCACTATCCTTCACAACTCCTGAAGCCAGGGAGCACGTCCAGAGCTCTAGCATGGAAGAGATACTTTGAGAAATCGAAAGCAGACTGTATCTCTCACCTGTCTTCAATACTCCTCCCTGCCATATACACTCAGTCATGCTGACTTTCCTCCCACATGTCTCCACTGGCATCCCTACTCCTCTTTTATCACCTTTCCCCCTCTAATTCCTACTAATTCTCTATATCTTCTTCTAGGAATATTGACTAAAAGAGAAAACACAGGGAATATTGAAGGATTCTATATTTGATATGAGAATAGTCAAAGAGAATGTAACACTGGACTGGCAATAAGATAAAATCAATTCAAACCAAAACTGCTCCTCTAACCTGGGGCATATCCCTTGGTTCTGTAGTCTCAGCTTCTTCACGTGTCAAACAAAGGGGCTCAACAAGACAACCTATTGTTCAGAATCATCTCTGATCATTTGATAACTTTCATCTCAGTGAAATTTTTGAACCCAAATCCAAACCCCGACACTTTTATAGAACAATCTGCATTTGAACTGAAAAAAAATTATTACGATTTCTGTTCTGATACTACACATTTACAACTCTGTTGTTATACAACTGCACACTGTATTTTTATTTTTGAATTGTTTTATTGTTGTTTAAGTACAGTTGTCTGCATTTATGATAATGAGTAAGATCACTTTCATAAATGTTGTATAATTCCACAGCTAACCTCTTAACTGCTGGTATAAAGGATTGAGGAAGAAGCACAGAATATCAGGTGTGCTTTTCTCAACACTAATTTTGCTCCAGATGGGTCAGAGAACTCTACGGCTCTTACATAGTCCAGCCAAGGTGGCATAGGCTAGACTCCGAGTGGTCTGAAAACAACCTATTCAGAGTCAAAAATATTCGGGGAGGGGTGAAGGATGGAAGGTGGCATTAAAATTTATAATCATAGTAGCAGAGAAGTCTACACCTTACTGTTGGCAGTGGGCATGTCCTTTGGGCAGGGTTCATGAGCAGACCAGGTCCAAAGAAGCATATATAACATTAAGGAGGACAGAGCAATAGGGAAGTCAGGATATTTAATTGCAGATATGAAAGAGAAAAGAGCAAAAACAGTGATTACTAAAGGAATTTCATTAATATACATATTTATGAAGTAGTTTTAGCTGTCCTACTCTTAATCTGAATACTTGCTACTTCTTTCTCAAAATAAAATTTTCTGTTGATCCTATCTGAACTTCACTAGTGTGAGGATAATCCTGGATGTACTTTAGTATCAAGGATCTCTGATTCATGAGAAGCCCTCTTCCCCTTCCAGAAACCAGTGGCAGGCCCTCATGGACATTAAAATGAATTACACAGTAGCATTCTTTATATTGTCTCTATAATAGATGTGAGAAGCTCCAAAAGACCAAAGAATTTGGAGGTGTGAAAGTTATCTTAAAATTCACATGCATGTATATACTCTTGTAATACCTGAGGATAAAACAACTCCCCTGTAATTATAAGAGAATCTGTGTTTAAAGGCATCTTTTAGATACAAGACTGGGTTTCACTGTTCCCAGTTCCTCCTCCCAGGGGCCTGTAGGCAGAATGACTATGGTGGTACTGAGGGCAGCAATGGTCAGTCCGTAACAGGCAGGGAGAGACACAACAGAGTCACTAGGGAGTTACAAAGTTGATCCTCACACAAAGCCACGAAATTTCAGCTATGAGTAAAAAGCCCTTCATATATGATAGGGGAAGAATGCTACATAATACATCTCATGCAAATTCAGATTTAAACCTGGCTTTCCATACACAATACTTAAATACATGATATAATGTGATTTATAATATGCTTCAACAAAAAAGTGTGGGGAAAGAGATGGGGAACATTGTAGGAATCCCCCAGAAGGAACTGAAAGTATGCTAGTATCTTATCAAATCTACAGAATTTTATATGCCATAAAAATATATGTATTTCTTTTTTACCTTTTTTGTTGATATGAACTGAGTCCAAGTGTTGTCTCTGCCTGTGAAAGGAAGAAAACAATGGTAAAAATACTAAAACGAAATCTTTATACTATAGACATATGAAATATCCAAAATATTTTATTGTACTTTCAAATTTGAACTTATGCTCATTTGAATTTTCAGGTTAAACCTGATCCCCAAATCATATAAAATGATTTCTCACACTATTATATGCAGGCACCCTCTCCCTTTTTTAGTTCACATTACACTATTTCACTTCAGAAAAGACCTATACTAGTTGCAAACTAAGGCGGGGGGGGATGGGAGGGAGGTGGGGAGCACTCAGGGGGTGGGCTGGGATGGGAGTAAAAGACAGAAAACCATACTTGAACAATAATTAAATAAATTAAAAAAACCGATAGATATATTCATCAAAAAGACATTGTTATGAAAGTGAAAAGGCAAATTACACACTGAGAGAAAATGTTTGCAAATCATTTATTTGATTAAGAACATATCCTGAATGTGTAAAAGACTCTGAATAAACCACTGATTTAAAAAAATCTGCAATTATATAAATGTCATCGAAACATATGAAAAGATACTCTGTATCCACTATTAAGGAAAAGCTAGCATAAACTACAATAATAAACTACATGTCTATTATAATGTCCAAAATGGAAAAGACCAATCATACAAAAGGTGGGAGAGAAGGTGGAGTAATGGGGATGTTCTTTCATACATACCTGGTAGGAAAGCAAAAAAGCACCACCTCTTTAGAAGAGGCCCAGTGATTTCTTACCAAGTTAAACATACACCTACCACCATATGACCTAGCCACTGCACTCCTAGATATTTGCCCAAGAGAAATGAAAGCATACATCCATCCAAAGACTTGTAGGTGAATGTTTATAGTAGCTTTAGTTGTGATCAATCAGTCAGTACTTGGAACAACCCAAATTTCCATCAACAGGTAAATGAATACACAAAATGTGTGCTATCTACACAATGGAATACTACTCAACAATAAAAAAAGAAAAAACTCAAGATTGGGAACTTTTCTTTTTCCCCCATTAAACATTTCTTTACTGTTTTATAATAAATACATATCATTTTTAAAAGAATTTTAAAAGAACATTTGAGTGACAAAAGAATAAATACTGATATACACAGAAACATGGATTAATCTCAAAATAATTATGCTGAGTCAGATCCCCCCAGAAGTACACTCTGTATGATTCCATTTACATAAAGTGGTTTAAAATATAAACTAAGCAACAGTGACAAAAAGCAGATCAGTGGTTGTCTAGAGATGGGAAAGTGAAGGTTGGAATGACCACCAAAGGTCATGTGTAAACTTTCATGGTGATGGGTACGTTCATTATCTTGATTAGAGCGATGGTTTCACTACAAGGTGTATAAATGTCAAACTTCAGATTGTACACTAAGTCTATACTTACGCTGACAGTTTACTGTATGTTACTTCAAAAATAGCATAACCTAACAATTCTAGAGAAGCAAAACTGGTTCCCACTTGAGGTTGCAGAAAGGAGACTCAGGAGTGTATCACCCATGTACACTTTCTTGAGGGGGAAAAAAACCTTCACGAAAACAGTCTGGCCAAAAAGATTACTCATGAAGAGTTGCAAAAGAGGAAGCTGTATTGTGAAAGAAATTTAAGGTAAAGGAACTGTGGAAATAAGTTTAGAAAAGTAGAAAGTAAATTTTTTGAAGTATAAGCCACAAAAATAGAAAAATCATTATTTAACTATAATAAAGAGTAAAACATCTCAGGACTTGCCCCAATACTTTACTGAAAGAGGGAGATCACCACAGACACTAGTTTATTTCTAAGGTAATTGAGAAATAAAGGTCTAAATATTTTAAATATTTATCTGAAAATTAAGCCTCAAATCAAGAGAGAAAACAAAAAAGGAAAGCATAAAAATTAGAGTAACTGGATTAAAAACAAATACAATATGATTAAATGAGATCAACTTGTCTATTTAAAAAAGACAAAAGGATTGTGTCAAAAGAGGAGGAAAAAGAGAAAAGGCAAGCAAGGAAGAGTTACAAAGTAATACTTAAGCAAAAATTTATAAATTAACAGTAAGGAGAAAAAAATGAAGAAAATGGGAGAAAGAATATTGTGAATGAAATGTAAGAAAAGGGCAAGAATAGGCAATTCATTAAAGAAAAACAAATGGCCAACAACTATATGAAAAGATGATCAGCCTCATTAAATAACAAAGCAGTCCCTAGAAGACACTGATATTTCATTATTCACCATCTGACTGGCAGGCACTCTTGAACTTTATGAATTTATGCCCAAAGATAAGTGTCTATTAGGAGTATTCAGGGCACTAAAAAATGACTGTGCCATGGTTTTTTGGGGGTGGGGAGATTTTCTATCAAATATAAGATATACTTACAGTATTTCAAAGTAAATTTTACTGAATCACAGAAACTTAAATTTGGTAATTCTTGGCTTATTACAAATGATCTTTTCACTGTGTCTATCTCAAGAGACAAGCACAGACTCCTTCCTACCCACAAGTCAGAATCTATGCTGCTATTGCATGTAAGGGCTCCAGTCTCAGCCTAGCTCACTGCGAGGCTCCAGATGTCAGACCAGTCTGAGCACAGTCTCTCAGAAATCATGCCCAACCCAAACACAGCCATATAGAGGAAAACAGAGTACTCTTACACATGAATGGACCAGCCTCTACAAATATGTGTGTGTGAGAGACATGTTCTCAAATATTAAATTTTCTTATCACAAAAATAACACATGATAATTTTTCTCCCTATAACCCAGTAGTTCTACATTGGAGGCAATTTTGTCCTCCAGGGTTGTGTGACAACATGTTAGTATTTTTGATGGGCACAACTGAAGGGCTATGCTACTTGCACCTAGAAGGCAAAAGCCAGGGATGCTGACAAATACAATGCACAGGCCAGTCTTCTTCTCCCCAAGGACTTCCTGTATCTGGTCCAAAATGTTTACACTGCCAAGACTGAAAACTGTACTGTGAACTGAATTTTATGAAGAAATAGCAGTAATTTAGACTTTTCATTTGTAATAACATCAGCTTGCATTATAAATCAAAGTGCATAACTGTCCCAACTTTATGTGGACATCTGAATGCAGGATTATATTTTATAGATAAGGAAACTAAGCTTCTGAATGATTCAAATTATGGTCCAGGAGCAAATGGTAAGAGTCAGAATTCAGAGCTTGTACTATGGTTTATTATTACATACTTATTATGATACATACCCTTGGTAAGACTGTATGTGCCTAATATTAACATCTTTTAGCTTACATGGGCTGAAGTTGGCCACATTATTGCTAATGTCATATGTTATGTTGTATAACTACTGAATAGCATATTAAATTTCCTTATAAAAATTCAACTGAGTGAAATTTATCCCAGAATTAGGCAAACAGGGCTAGTTGTGTACAAGGCACTAGGTGTTTAGATATAAAAGCAAGGGGTGTGCCAGCCTAGACTTAAAGATTCTTGATGGTACAGGTGGGACATATACACAGGTCAGTGGTACCAGGGACCACGCTGGGCAGTATATCAGTGTCCCATACTGTGCGCCTTTCCCCAGGGCTATGCTTGAGAAGAACCACTCAGTTTCCTTGCAGATGATTAGATCTGTCACCTCATATACAAAATTACATACTTCTTCAAGGATTAGGGTAGGGGTAGAGGATGAGATCCACTTTTGATTAAGAAAAATAAACATGTGGCCTTGCCTCTCATCAACTACCTACCCTCATCCCCCAAAAGGTCCTCTGCAAATAATTCTCATCACTGAAAATGAACAAAGTACCTATAAGGTAGTTTTAGAAATCTTTAACTCACAAAATGGGTCTTCCTTACCTTAAAAAAATTATTTTGCTTATGTGTTTGCCTATGTATATTTTTAATGTAAATTTTTATTGAGATAATTGTAGATTCACACACAGCTGTAAGAACTAAGAGAGGCACATTTTACCCAGTTTCCCCCAATGTACCCTTCTTCAAAAGCTATGGTATAAGATCACAACCAGGATACTGACATTGACATAATTACATATCTTGTTCAAATTTCCTCAGTTTCACTAATGTGTACTCATTTATGTGTGTCTATTAACTTCTACACAATATTCTCACTCCTATAGGTTCATGAATCCACCACCACAGTCAGGATTCATAATATTCCTTCACTACAAGGACCACAGGTGCTGACCTTTTACAACAACCCACCTTCTGTTCTCCCCTCCCCCAAGCTCCAGCAATCACTGACCTGTTGTTCATGTCTAAAAGGTTGTCATCTCAAAACTCACGTATGCAGAATCACACAAATACAACCCTGGGTCTGGCTGTTTACTCAGCATACTTCTCTGGTGATTCATTCAGGTCGCTGTGTATAGCAAGAACTGTTCCCCCTTTTACTGCTGAGCAGTGTTCCATGCAAGGATACCCCACGCCTATTTAACTAGTCACCCACCGATAAGCTGGGTTGTTTCCAGCTTTTGACTATTTATTACAAATAAAGTTTCTTTTTTTTTTAATACATGCTCATTTTTTTTTAAATTTTTTATTGATTATGCTGTTACAGTTGTTCTATTCCCCCCTTCATTCCCCTCCACCCTACCCCCCATACCCACCATTACCCCACCTTTAGTTTATGACCATGTGTCTCAATTCCTTTAGATTCTATATTTCCCATGCTATTCTTGCCCCCCCATCTATCTTCTATCTACTTCTATTTTCTATGCTACTTATTTTCTGTACCTTCTCCCCCCTTCTCCTCCTCCCACTCCCCTGTTGCTAACCCTCCTTGAGATCTTCATTTCTATGTTTCCACTCCTGATCTAGCTGTCCTTTTAGTTTGCTTTTGTTTTAGGTGTGGTTGTTAATAACTGTGAGTTTGTTGTCCTTTCACTGTTCATGTTTCTTTAACTTCTTTTTCTTAGATAAGTCCCTTTAACATTTCATATAATAAGGGCTTGGTGATGATGAACTCCTTGAATTTGATCTTATCTGAGAAGCACTTTATCTGT